TATTCTTCATTTTTGTTTCATAGTCGTTTTTGTACATTGCCTCTGTTTTTCCCCCTTTATCTGCATTCAATATTAAAACATCTTTGTTTTGTTTCAAAAATTGTTTTGTTCTACCCACTGTGTCAATTACAAAAACTAAACTTCAGACGAGGCATTCTGGACATAAGTCAGATCAAAACTCAGACAAACCTTTAGAGCATGAAACGGCATTGCACAAAAACTGGACGCCGAATTGTAAAGACATAGACATATTGACACAGGAAAATAATTATAAACGAATTATAAGACTAACACGGACCACTGTGCACAAATTTACAGAAATATAGTTCATAAGCACAGACGAAGAGAAACATACAGCATGTTTTTCTATTTCGAACGAAAATCAATGAGAATGAAAGTAACTCACTCACTTTCGTTTAAAAAATCGTTCATGTATTTCGAAAGCTATCGTTCGTTTGCCGTTACGTATACCATTCGAAAAACTACTAAATTAAATCTAAAGTTTTACAACAATTGGTCTGTTCCCGTACTGAAAGAATCTACTCTATTTTACTATTTTCTTCGATATCATAAAGGCAAATTCGTTATCGTAGTAAAAAGTAGTAGATTCTTGCAGTACGGGAACAGACCAAATGTTCAATAAATGAGAGTCAAATGGGAAATGAGAACGAACTACACAAATACAATCACACATTTGAATATAAAAAAATGTCAAATGGAAATTTTCAGTATTTGTTAGAATTTTGTACAATTTTATTTTCCAAAAACATGAATAAAACGTCCAAACGATACCTATAAAACATGTTCCGTCATACATAAACCCAATTTTTAGAGAAAAAGTATACGTTTACGTTTTCCTTCGAGTTGTTTATCGTTCGACTTATTTTGCCTGTAAAAAGTTTTTACATGAACCAAAATTGATTTTCTTTCGCATGAAAGCGAAAGGAACTTTCTTTCGCAATACATACGTTTAGCATAGACGGTGATAAAAATCAGTTGCTTTTCTCATAACCGTAAGATTTGTGTAATATAATTAAGTTTATATCTCTTTAAGTACTTGTATGTTTTAGTATTTCCCTGAAGATGACTGCCGAAGACAGTCGAAATATTTGAAAATAAAAATAAACAAAAACTAAAAACCATAACCAACGATTTTTTCAATTGACCTAGACCAAACAAAAAGAATTTACATATCACAGGTCAACAATAACAACAAAATAGCACTACAAGATTTTTATTTTTGACGGGGAAAATATCTCTCCTCAAATGAGATTTATTTGTTTATTTGTAACGGAAAAAAATAACCATTTTTAACAGTTAAAAAATCAACGTTATATAAATATTTGGACTGTTTTTTGGGATGTAAATCATTGATTTGTAAGTCCTTTCCTTCTCAGTTCGTGGCTGTTTCCTTCGTAGTGTCTGATTATTTAGTATTCTTATTTTTAAAATTCTGTTTGCTAAGTTGTTGGCCGTGTTCATTATTATCTGTTTTGGGTGTTTAAAAAAGAAGTTTATGGACCTCCCCGATGCCGTGGGTTTTTGGTACCAGTCTAGTTCCAATTTACCATTATTTTGATACACCACCGTGTCCAAATACGGTAAACATCCGTTGTTCTCTTTCTCCATTGTGAACTTTATATTGTTGTTGTAGCTGTTTAAAATAGTCAAGGTATCTGTTATTGCATCTTCCCCCAGTATTACAAAAAGATCGTCAACATATTTGGTTACTAGTGTAGGTTTCGTCGTTAGTTGTTCCATACAGGTATCAAGAAGTTTCTCCATCACTATATCAGCTACAATTGGAGAAGCTGGTGAACCCATTGGCAGTCCTTTTTTCTGTTTTTAAACCTTGTCATTATACGTGAAGTAGCGGTTGTGCTTAAAGCAAAACGTAAGAATACTGAAAAATAAGCCCATTGTCATATTAGTGTATTCTCGTATTTCGTCCCATTTTTCTTCTATTATTTTGATTCCTAGGTCTACTGGTATGCTCGGGAACAGTGATATCACTCCAAACGATACCATTTTGTCATTCTCACCGAAGTTAAATTAGTTATCTTCCTTTTAAAGTCAATTGAGTCCCTTAAACGGCATTTATGATGGAACTTTTTGCAGGGTTAACCTACTTTATGAGGATTTATTTGACAAATAGGCAATGGAATTGACAATTGAAACCCATTGGGTTAACTAAATCTGGTACAATGTAAACGTACTATTACGTTGTATTTTGAGTTAATTGTCAAGTTCTTAAGTGTTCTAACCATGTATTTGCAAAGTTGTATGGAAGGAGAGTTTTTTAGATTTCCCTGAGGTTGCAATTTAAATCAATTGCGAAATATCGAACGTGAAAAAATAAAAGAGAAACTAGACCTCAAGCTCGAACAAATATATTTGGTCTGTTCCCGTACTGCAAGAGTCTACTATTTTTTACTACTATAACAAATTTTCCTTTATGTTATCGAAGAAAATAGTAAAATCTAGTAGATTCTTGCAGTACGGGAACAGACCAATTGTTTTATTATTATAATCATCAAAAGATGAAACAATACAACACAGAATAAAAGAACAATTGTTATCGTAGTAAAAATAGTAGATTCTTATCATGACACAATTGGTCTGTTCCCGTACTGCAAGAATCTACTATTTTTTACTCCGATAACACTTTTTTCCTTTATGATATCGAGGAAAATAGTAAAATCGAGTAGATTCTTGCAGTACGGGAACAGACCAAATGAATAGGTAGTCCATTTAGCGCAGCTGATGTCTTGATTAACTGTCAAAGTGGGCATTTTCTATTTGAATTCGATGTGTAGTGTTGCCAACCATTTGAAATATTATATGGGAAATTTTGACAGATAATCGAGACAAAAACAAAGGTTTTTGTTGGTATACATCACCTTATTATTGCATCATGATTCTTATAGGCCCCATACACTATAAATCATGCCGTCATGCCGATGAACCCCTTTTTGTGTATGTGAGATTGGCTAGTGTATGGCAAACTCTTCAATCACTATTCCAAAAATTCGATTTTTGTCCCAAAAACTGCATTTTGAGTCGTAAATTCAGTTGTTTTTTTATTCCGATACAATTCTATTATTTTTGTACACAAAATTATTTACTGACAACTTTCCAAATGAATATTATTCACTAGATTGATAGGGTTTCATTTTCAAAATCAAAACTATTTTGATTTTCTTCATGCATCATGTGTGTCACACATACATAAATAAACTTTCAAAAAATAACACATACTATGATAAATGCTGTACGGCATGATGTATAGTGTATGGGCAGGGCTGCCATATTTGCCGATTTATCGGCATTTTGACGATTTTTCACTCTAAAAATGGAAAATGCCGATTTTCCGATTTTTGCCCCAGAATTGCCGATATTTCAACAATCGACACAAATTGTCTAACTTTTTAATTTAATACGGCGTTACCATACAAACATATAAAATTGGCAGCTTTAGATCATTATAACTATCGGCGACACGCCGCAGCCGTTTTCAATGGCTTAGATATCTGTATTTTTTGTCAGTACTCTGTCTAGTTTACATTTTGCATCATGGGCACGATCAATTTTTTAGAATATGATGAAGTATATTTGGGTTTATATGCAAAAGATATTGTTTCAGAAACAAAACTTCCCAAAAATGACATAGACAAAATAGTTAGCACTTGCATTAATTTTCATATAGAACTTGAAAACCAAATATTAAAACGTTTTGATTTTAATTTAAATTTATTTAAATGCTTAAAACTTATTGATCCTGGAAGAGTAATGAAGTAGGGCAATAATTCTTTTCTAGATATTTTAAAAGAATTCCCCGATTTTATTTTTGAAACTGAGAGGCAATCTTTAGACTCCGAGTTTCTGAATTTTGAAGAAGTTGTTGAAAATGCAGAATATAATTTAAAAAGTTTCTGGAAAAAAAATTCCGAAATTAAATGTGGGGACTCCAATTTAGCTTTTCCAGTTTTGTCTAAATTTGTACAACGAATTATGGTTCTTCCACACTCCACAGCAAATGTGGAACGAATTTTTAGTCAGGTAAACCTTAACAAAACTAAAATTAGAAGCTCACTTGAGAATGATTCATTGGAAGGGATTCTTTATTCTAAAGATTACCTCAAACTAAATAATTCAAATTGTTTTAATATCAAAATTGATAATGAATTACTAAAAATGTGTAATAAAAATATGTACTAGTTTGTAAGTTATTTTTATGACCTTAATACCACACTGTGTTATACGTAAATCTGAAAGATCTCACTAGTGTACATAATAATTACTATATTTTAGAAAAATCTTTATTTTTTTGTAGAAAAATGAATCTTTTATGTTATTTTTTTATACAGAATTATTAATGTAATAAACAATATTGATTTGTTACAAACCAAAAAATATGAATTTATTTATAAATTATATGCTGCCGATTTTTTGCCGATTTTTAAAAATACATATGCCGATTATGCCGATTTTTTTCTGAAAATTTTACGATTTTTCATGAAATTTAACTGGCAGCACTGTGTATGGGGCCCTTTATGGTACGGGAACAGACCAATTAAAATACAACTGACAAAGTACCAAACGCTCGACCGTGTGGCAACGCGCAAAAAAGTGAAACACTAGAAAGAACGAAATGGAATAAAACAATTTTGTCTTTCATCTTTGCTTTCGTTCTAAACATTTCTGTCTCGATCTGTTTTTTATCGGCTATTCTCTATTGCCTCCGCTATTCATTTACGCCGACTTGCGGAGTCCCTAGTCGGCAATTCTTTTATGACCCTCTTTCTCAACAATACTACCCGTGTCCATCACAACCTATTCTTAAATTTTCCGTTTTCTACTTTGAATTTCTTCTTTATCGGCCATTTTTCTTCTCACCCATTTGTACCTGGAACGCTTTTTATGGAACGGTGGAACGCTTTTTTATTGTATCTGGTTCAGTTTCTGAGAAGGCAAACAGTTGTTCAGCAATTCCAACGAAGATGGCCGCAAATAATGATGAACCATTTGAGAATGTTGATGTAGGTATTAATAGTTTACCAAATAATCGAAAAAGGTTTCATGAAGGTCCGTTTCACAGTTCGATGAAGAAGAAGGCGAGGAACAGTTTGTGCCAACAAATGCTGGACGCAAACGTCTGTTCAGCAAGGAATTAAGATGCATGATGTATGGTTTTGGTGACGATGAGAATCCATACACAGAGAGCGTCGATTTGTTGGAAGACCTGGTCATTGAATTTATAACAGAAATGACCCATCGTGCTATGGAAATCGGACGCACCGGAAGAGTACAAGTGGAGGATATTATCTTCTTGGTACGTAAAGATCCCAGAAAGTATGCCCGTGTCAAAGACCTGCTAACAATGAACGAGGAGTTGAAGAAGGCAAGAAAAGCCTTCGATGAAATTAAATATGTGGGTAAGTTCGAAAGTCACTATTAAATGTTTAGTTTTTTTTTTCAAATCGATAAGAATATAATTAAAATATTTGTCATTACAGGAAGCGAGGCCAAAATTAAATGACAAAAGTCTAAATAGTCACAACCAGAACTTTGGCTCAATGACATCTTTATATATACATGCTATAACTGCTTTTTGTCAACTATATAAAAATCAGTTACATGGGAAAGTAATCTTAGTGTACTCGGTGTTCATATTTTTCATTTACAAAACAAAAATAAAACTTTATTATACATCTACTACGGTTGGAATCTACATACTTAATTTACTACTTAATTGAATATGATTGTGACAATCTCGAGTCGGTGCCAAGCTTATACACCTGAGTCTGTTTTTACACGGTAGATTGGTTCCAGAAGAAGTCGTGTAAAAAAGGGAATTCCCCTAAATTAGTGCGCGCTATCGATGGTTTCAGACTTTCTTTCATAATTTTTTTTTGTGATATGAACATAGTTCGCAAAAATTAAATTTGACCCGAAAAAAATAAGTACATAAAATTTCAATCGTGCTAAATGGACCAAATTGTGTAAAAAAATTAAAAATATTCAATTTTCAAACCGTGTTATATCAAAACCGTGTACAAAAAGTCCGTGTAAAAACTGACTTAGGTGTATAATATATGTCCGTAACCAAAATATTGCGCGTAACTTACCTGTTGCGAACATAAAATGTCATGTTCTCAGGGGCATTTTGCGTTTTCTCTCCATGAACTGACACATCAAAAACGTGATTGTTTTAAAAAACTGCACTTTTCTGCTTAATAACTGAACTTTGTTTATGACATTTTAATCGGGGATAAATTCCCATATAATGGAAGATTTTTCAACGCATGTTTCATGTTAGGTTATGAGATTATTACGATTAGAGCATTAAAAAAGTATATGACGACATTAGAATAAAAATTTTTTGAACACATTCAGTTCAGTAGGCCTATTTGTAACTTTTTAACAACATACCTATCATACCATTGATATAGGCCTTGAGCTAGGATGTGCTTCTGTTCCATTTTCTTCAGTTGGCCTTATTACGGTCACCACGTAATCGTGATTAGTAGCATTTACTCAGTAAGTTCTATTTTCCAATAATACTGAGGAAAGGAAACCCCACATCCAGTAAGTACTTTTTTAACATTGTTAAGGAATAAAATTCATAATAGGGTAAATGCTTCTAATTTTGGCATGTACCAGTAGTCGGCATCTGTTGTATACAACTTCAAATAACTTAAATAAAAATCCTATAGCCAAATATAAAAAATACCTTTTATAATCTTCAATAATATTGCAACCTATCTCTAAGAAACATACATTTTTAAGGTTTTTTTATAGTCATATTTCGAATAATAGACACCATTTCGATCATTTTGGCTCAAAGTTGAAAAATTTTTAAAAAATCAGTTTTGAGTGGTTTTACATAATAGAAGATATGGTTTTAATCTAAAATGCCTATAACTTCTGAAATGCGTAATTTTGCTATTGGATAACAGGTTCATAAAGTCGGCATATATATTTTTTCAATACAATATTGATGGAAACGTCCGATAATAGCTGTCTGGTTACTTTTCCAGTAACATTCACTCAGTAAGTTATATTTTAGAGAGTAAGCCGTTTTTATTGTCTTTTTCAATAATACTGAGAAAAGTAAATAGACAACATCCAGTAAGATTTGGAAAAATATTCCGTAATTTTATTTAAAATGCTTGAAATTTATTTTTTTTAAATTATTAAAAAATAAAAAGAATGTTTTTTGACACTGGTCAAAATGTAAAACTAAGGGGTGCTTGAAATACACCGAAATGTGCTAGATAAATCTTACTAGATGTAAAATTTACATAGTAACATTCAGTAAGTTATCAGCTCTTTTCTACTGGTTTTTGGAGTAAACAGACAACAATTGTTACCAAATATCGAGTAAACAGACACAGCTAATAATAATTTATTAATCTAAATAGTAGAAAAATCAATTAAAAAGATATTTTTTGTTTAACGAAAAAGCATCGGAGTGTAAACAAAATTTCGAAACAGATGAACCTAAATCCAATATAGTGGAAAAAATGCCCTCGGTTTAAAATGCTAAAATCCTTAAGGTGCCCTTACCCTATATGGTTTTAACAAAATTTCCTACTACGTTATTAAGCACTAAATTGTGCGGTCCCAATGGATGCATTATAACTGTGTTCGACCGTACACAAATTTTCAAAATAAACGAATTGCTTTTGTTTACAACAAATATATTTTTTAATCGAAATAATCATCAATATCTATATCAGGATTAAGAATATCATCGCCGAATGGCGTTAAATCAATGCCATTGAGAATAAGATTTTCGCACATTTCTGCCAACTCTGTATTTCCAATTAGTATCACACCACGTAATTTGCCGTTTTGTAAAATAAATTTTATATATTCGTGACCGGGAGTAGTTCGCAGTAGTACTTCATAGTTTATACCCAAGCCTTGTCCATTATAACGTCCCAAGAGAATGACGGGCATGCCGAATAAATGTGTAACGTGGCCGAAGAGCTCGAAACAAAAATCTTGATAAATTTGTTCTCCATTATGATGTGCAGCCATACTTCTTCCAGCCATTGAACCCATCTGTCGAGCTTGTGTCCACAAACGCATTTGAAACCAGTGCTCAGCTTTTTCCCACGCAGCCGTACATACATCACCAGCGGCGTATATATATTCGCAAGATGTCTGCATCATTTCGTTTACTCGAATACCAAGATCTTCCGCATCAACGTCCAATTGTGGTTCACAACTGTAATCGAGACGTGGATCGACACCAGTAGCTGATACAAGAAAATCACACACAATAACTTCGCCGGTATTAAGTTCAACTTTCATCAGAGTTTTATTCCTATCAGAATCAAAGTATTCACTCATGTCCTTCACTAAAGACTTGAAATGTATTATAGGCTTGCTTACGCTTGAATCTGTTCCTTTCAAGTCAAAATGACGATGCCAATCCGGACCTAGAGCTGCTCCCTTTTTACTGCTGCTTTCAGTAGCAACTATTTCATCATAGCGTAACCGCTTCACAATACTCTGAGATGTGTTATTTAATGCGTCACCTTCATTTGTATCCATAACTTTTTGAAAAAAATATGCTGCTCCCGGATCAATAAATGTTGAAGCGATATGATTATCTTTCACCACCCAGTGGACTTCGATGCCCTTTAGCTCGTAGGCCAATTCGCTGGCAATGCCACCATTACCCACCAGTACTACTGTTTTAGAATTGGCCAACTTCTTTTGTAATTCCAGCACAGAATCAGTGTCTCGTATTCCCATTATAAGAGGATTGTCATTCTCGATGAGTCGAGGCCTTCCCCCTGTGCAAAGACATAAGTACTTATAATAAATTTTCTTGTTCTTTTTGGTTATAATAAACTTTTCATTGGCATCCACATGCTTTAAGTTGTCGACTTGAGTAACTATAGATGGGGCCAACAATTGTCGAACGCTGCTGTTGTCTGTTGCATTAGCTAACGATCTTTCAAGAACATCGAATTTGTATAAGTACCGAGCGACTGGTTCTAAATTTGCCACCGTCTTGATTACATTAGATTCTGTCAGCAAAAGAATAGACTCGTGGGGACAACAGATTGCAGTTGTCTCTGCGCACGTCACACCTGCTATTCCTCCTCCTATAATGACAAATGTATACCTTTCAGTGATGATATCTCCTCCTCCATTAATAGACTTTTCCATTTCTTCAGATGCTTCTTAAAACTAATAAAAATTTTTTAATAGTTATTTTGCGGGTCTATGCTTGGGATTTTTGAGCGTATTCACTGTAATCGAATTCGCGATATGGCACGTCGAATGTAAGAAGACCGTAATCCCGGGCCCTTTCAACTGCCACCAACAACTGCAAATGTTTCTTCTGGCACAAACCAGTCTTCGTGTAACTCAGCACTTGACCTGTTTGTGGAGAAATGAATTGCTTCAGCAGTTCAATATTACGGTGATCCAATACCAAATATTCGTCCCTACAAATTGGACAGGGATTTCCAGTACTAATCACACCCTGGCGAATACAAGTTTTACGTGTCTGTCGTGGTGGGAATGGACCCTTATGGTTGCGCCTGTATTGTTCCCAGACAAATTGTTCGCCGTATGTTTGTTTATAGGCCGAGCTATTCAAGTAACGGATGGAAGTCTCGACAGGAATAACTTTTGTTCGATCTTTAAGTATCAATTTGCGGTCTTTTTCAGTTAATTCACGTTTCTCTTGAATGTCATCTGCCGGCAATTCCGCTGAATCTTCTTTATTATGGTGTTCACACTTCAGTGATAATGCGGTGTGAATGGATTGTACGGATTGTGTTGAAGCTGCAGTATGATTTAATGCAAACCTCGTCAGTACATTTCCCAAACTTCGGCTAAGTTTCATCATATTGTGTGACAAATTAATATGTAACCTCTTCGTAGAATATTAAAAAAAACAACCCGTTCAGACCTGAGGTTATACAACTCTGAAATGATTTGACAGGCGAGCAGAGTTGCCAACTGAAATGTCTGTTGTAAAACGAAATAAGGCTAAATGAAAGCGTGTGGTTGATTAAAGTGGAAAACATATACGAGGATTCGAGCATGGCATGTTAATTTGACATTGTATAAAATGTCAATTTATAAAGGAAAAGCAGAGTCAAACATGATTTGGACGTCAAACATTAAACAAAGCCAACTTAGCATAATAAGATTTAATAAGATTTTATAGAACGCTTACATTGTACCGGATTTCGTTAACCCAGTGGGTTTAAATTGTCAGTAGAATAACCCGGTAAAAGTTCCAATGTAAATGCCCTTCAAGCTAAACTCCATTGTACAATTATATAAGGTAACTGCAAAACCCAGCCGATTTGATTCTAACGTAAATGCACATTTACATACAATAGAAAAACCAGGATTTAGGGCGTTATTTATTATTATTATTAAATCTTTATTTTGTAATGAAAAGCCTAAGGGGCCAATAAATTATTACAATATGCTTCGAATAGTAATTTGTAAATTAACATTTAAATTATTAGAACTTAAAGGTAAATAATATCTAATTAGGAAAAAATACATAACTTCATAAGGGAAGAACTACTCTTATTAATACCTCGCTTGCGAGGTCATAGAAAAAAAAATAAAAACTAAAAAACGCTCCCAACTATAATATCAGCGGCAATTACTGCCTCAAAATATAAGTATTTTTTATGGTAGATAAAGATAGCATAGAATATTATTCTGCTGCTCCTTGCAATAAGACAAGAAGCTTATTTCGGTATGATGAAATGGTTACATTAAACCTTTTTAAGTTGTTAGGTAGTGTATTGAATAAACGTGACACTCTAACAAGAAATGATCTGTCCATGTGAACGTCCAATCTTGGAATTGTTAGATTGGTGTTTCTAGTGGATCTTGAAAAAATAAAGGAACTCGCCAAAAAAGAGGGACATTGAGATTTGCATATTTTATAGAATAAGGAAAGACATCGGATATTAACAAAATTAGTAAATGAAGATCCTATAAAACGGGGAACGAACGAAGAAATGTGATAATAACGGTTAATACCATAAACATATCTGACAACGCTATTAAAAGCCTTTTGAACTCGCTCCATATTATGCATGTTAGCACCAGAGTATGCCTCAAGACAGTAGAGGATGTTCGGCATTACAATAGCATGGGCCATTTTCACCTTAAAATGGTGAGGTAGAAAAAGGTCACAATTGTACAGCCTTCTCAGTGCCATGTTCACTCGAGAGACTACTCTATCCTAAAACCGGTACAATTTTGCATCATTTTAGAGTTGGGCAATCTAGTTCACGTACTGGGTCGACCTTTCTCGTCCCTTTTTTTAAAAGGAACTAGTTCCTTAATGTAGTTCCTTTGCTCCATATAGTCCCCACTCCTACATAGTTCCTTTGAATCTCCCTCTTTCATCCTTCTTTTTTTTTTTTGCTCACATAAATCCGTGTTGATTTCCTAATAGATGAAAATTTTTAAAATTGTGGAAATACGACAAAAAATTATTTTAAATAATTTCTATTTAGTAGAATATTTAGAAGCTACAGAATTCAACTGCAGGACAAAATATTTTTTTAATGCATAAAACATTAAAAAAAAAATAAAATAATTTTACTATTTACACATCAATAAATTGATGAGCGTATGTTTATATATTGTCGACAATGTGACAGCATTTGAAAAACGAACGAGAACGAGAATACTAATTCGCCTATGCCTGTACCTTAAGAGCTCCGCACAAGAATCGCGCAACGCGGTTTCTCATATCGCGTTAAAATATATTCCATTCCGAAGTGCAACGTATACCAACTTCATGCGGTGATGTTATCGTTCTCTAATTTACCCTGAGTCTACAAGCGACAGGAGAGTCGAAGACAATGATTTCGAAATCATAAATGAAAATAATAATTTTATTCTTTCATGGAGCCTAGTGCTATTTATAAAATTAAACCCTTTCCTTGAATTAAACTTTCGCCTTTTATACATTTCAAAATATCTATTTAATATAAGTTACTTGTTGCATATTTTGGCAGAAAGCGGGTACAGTTACACAGTGGGACAGAATTCAGGTATAGCGTGCAGAAAAATGAGTACAGTATTGAACGATAGTGCAGAGACTAAAAACGAATAGTTCGTTCTCAAGAGAGAAATTTGCAAAAAGTATACGAACATCCAGTAAAAAGATTGTATCGACACAGCTGATTAAAACAACAAACAATACTTGCGTTTTCTTCATCCATTTAAGTGTTTAATGATACAAAATGCAAATAAAATTCACAAAACAATCAATTAGCTTGAGAACAATTTTGTTGTTTGTTTACAAAACATAACAAAACAGCTGATTAAATATAAGTTGATCAATTCACCCTCCTTTAATGAACTTTTATGTAAACGAACAACATTCTGTAATAATTTGTACAAATTATTGAGTAAACGAAGGGGGATTTATATCAATTCGCCACAAGTTGTATCTGTCAAGGCGAAAAATATAATATTCGCCTCTGTAAATTTGGTAGATAATCAAGATAAAAACATTTATTTTTGTACTAATTCACTCTGATATACCACCTTATTAATGCATTATGGAACTCATCTATCAACTTTAAATAATATAAAAATAAATTCAATAAAATTGACATATTTTCAATAAATGAAACAAAATATATTTTCTAGAATTGAACTAAACTTAACTAAAACTCCCAAGATTTTACCATAGTTGTTACATCATAAATTTATAAGTTCTAGCATTGTACAATTATACAAAGATTTTGTCAGAGAGGAGAAAATACACCTCTACCTTATGGGCAATAATGTCAGAATAAATGAAAACAAGTGCAACAAGTCGTTCTGTTCATTCGACATATTTTTAACATTTAACCAAAAACGAGAAAAATGAATGGAATGTCGGGTTTTCTTTTCATATAAAAAATATACTTTTAAGATTTCCAATAGTCCTTTAATAGTCTTTTGTAGATGTGTGCACTTTATTATATCGATGTTGACAAGATCCATGCTCCACTTGTCTATAGGGCGTCATCAAAAATGTTTCTAAAGCGTAACCACTCTCTCCTAGAAGCCAACTATTTTGCATACCATTTCCTCTTTTGTTAATGCTGCCTAGCTGCACTCATATGCCAAATAAAAGCATCATGGCTGGATCCTGGTCTGCAGCTGTCCCCAGCTTGCACACACTTTGTCTTCCAGGACTTTCATTACTCTCCACAATATTTTACACTTTGTTGTGCGATCAACACTTATATTTAAATCATTTGCCACTACCCTCTGAAACCCACTAACAGTCAGAAATCTTAAGGTAGCTGCTAACTGCAGGCTTTCGGGAATAAATGCTTATTTTAACACGTTCCAGTATTATTAGACTTTTTCTGGTAGAAACCAGGGCAATTAATAAGCCAGCAGGCATATTTTTTCTTAATTTTCTTGTTAAACAAATTGCAAATTCCAATGAAACATATGTTTTTTTATTGAACACATTTCGTAACATATTGAACACAGCTATGCTATCGAGCCGCACTTTCGTTCGAAATTGAGCACACCATTTTGCACAACATGGGAATTTAAAAAAGTATGGGAATTCAAAAACTCTCGGAACATGTCACATGGGCGAATATGTGATTCATGCAAATATGTTCCAGTTTTGGTGTAAAACAAGAAACAAAAAGTTTGAAAAAATAAACTCTGATGACATGAATTAAGAATAGTGTTGTATGGACGGGTTAATTCATGTACGTAATTCTGAGAGTGAACTACGTTGTTCGAATGCCCGTCAGAACATGGCATTAAATAATTTGAACTGTATACACAAATTAGTACTGTACACATTTTTGCCCTCTTCTCTATATTAAAAAGCTCATAACTTTACCAAAAATTTGAATTTTTTAGATTTTTCTTGTGATATGTGTCGTCTATAATCAGGTCTTGACATATGAAATCCAAAGAATATATATCTACTAGCAGCATATTAAATATAAGCGCTAAAACATTTTGTTGCCTGTGGGCAACATTGGGCCACAAAGGGTTAATATGTACCTATCTAATATGTACTTAAAAATTCAAATTTTTGGTAAAGTTATGAGAAGAGGGCAAAAATGTGTACAGTCCAAAATATTTAAATCGCTTCGTATTCGAATTGTCGAATTCTATCATCAGCATTTTTTTGATTCTTATAAAAAAGAATATAGAGAATATTTTAAAATTATTTTTTCATCAATTGAACATTTGGTTTTCTTTTTTTTCTCATTAAAAACTGGTGGCAGAGGAGGCTCCAGCTAGTCCACTTTCTATTTCTAATAGAAGGTATTATATGTAACGAGATTTTCTTATATTTTTCGTTTAGTTCGATAAAACACGTGGCAAAGTTAAGCGAAAGCTTAACAGAGCGCCATTTTGTAACTTTTTAAGCCCGTAGGCGTGATTAACTCTTTAAATGTGCCTTTCTTGTGAGCCGTCCGAAGACGAACTGATTTGGTTTTCTTGATATTGGACTTTTATTTTTCAGAAAGAATGTACAATATCTCCCGAATGCAAGGGTGTGGGGATGTCAATTTCTGTTTATATCCTATTTAGGATAGTTGCATTAAATCTCTGAACAGAAAACTGTTCTATCTTTACGGGAAAAAAATCGGGCCACAAAGGGTTAAATAGCTTCTTATTCGAAATATACGAGTTGTACCTTCCAAATTTCTGGAGTCCAGCTCTATCCGTTCACACATATTCAAGTTGTACCAAATATAGTACCATTTAGTACAGATAAGTACTATGCTTCCTTATCTCAATTCTATATTCCAACAGGAACCATTATTCCAAATTTTAGGTTTCCGGTTCTCTCCGTTCACTCCAATTGTGCCAAATCTAGTGCCGATT